GACATGACGTCCATTTATTTCCAAAATAATTCAATTCAATTCAATTAATGATATTAGAGAATTGAAACTACTTGCAAGTAGTAAGTTTACAATTTTACAATTTTATGTCAATTTGTAATTTATGAAATTTACTTCTAAAATTTCATCATATTGTTGAGATTTACCAACACTAACGAACTAGTAAAGTATAATATACTTATATTTCGTAAAGTTTTACTAACAATATTAATTCAAAAGCTTTCCGATAATATTAACTCAAAAGGTGTCTCGACATCTCATCGAATTCACAACCTGTTAATACACCGATTAATTAAACCCGCTCATAAATCCTGAATTACAAAATGAGCTGACAAATCTCGGTTAATCGAGCTATCTTACCCAGCTAAAAATCAGGATTAAGTGAGATACAATGATGGAGTAGACGCTAATGATTAGCTTACGTCTAGAGTGCCGGCTTCGTAATAATTATCGTCCACCGAGAGATAATAGACGGCCATGCGAACAAACTATAAATAGTAAAATAACCCCGAAAAAACGTGATTGATGATTCGTTCGACGTGGTGACCAAAATCTACGGGGACTCCAGCCGGCTGATCAGAATGGACACGCGTCCACGCCGATGCAAGCGGACGTTTTGTGTATGTAGCCACGTTTCTACGCACACTAGCACGCAAATGATGCTGGGAGAACAGTGTTGGATCCGGGCTTGCGTGCTCGACGGAGGAATAGCCACGATGATAATAAATAATAATCCGCAAAGGGCGATACTTGTGGGAAGAAATCGAGGGTCCGGGGAACGTTTCACGAACTATAAATGATTTTACCTACTGACTTAATTTTCCTTGTTCGCGGCAACCACGAGAGTTATCGTTAAAGGACGTGTGAGAGATGGGGAGATTTTAGATATAAGGAAAGGTTCTTTTTGATCGGTGAAGGGATATCTCGATCGTTCATTTTGACGTTGCTTGAATTTTTGGAATGAGACAAAGCAAAGAATTCTTTGGACTCTCTGATTCTTGGATTTCAATTATTTCAATTATTTTCTCAAATTGTATCAATTATTATTTTAATCTCTACTCAAGGATTCTTAGAGTTGTCGTAATTACTGTAATGACTAGAAATATACGTCTCGAAGATTCACGGAGCTAGAGTAGTTTCGTTTCGAAATAATAAAGATCCAGAAGTCAGAAACTCAATCATCTAACCGTCAACAACGTGACAACTAGTAACCTCAAGAAAAGTCAAGATGTCTCCAAACTTACATAAACCGTGTAACGCGTTGACAAAGGATATAAAAAAAACAAATATGCCTCCGACTTCGGTAAGTGCGGAACAGATTTTCGAAAAAAAAAACATCTAGAAGGTCGAGTGAAAGTTTCATTGCTCATTGTCACGAAGCGAGGAATTTTCGGAAGGAAGGGCATCGTTATGTCCTTTCTTCCTTCGGTATACCTGGCTGGCACAGGAACACGGGAAACAACTGGGAATAATTTTTGTTTTGAACCGTTAAGGTAAACGACACTGTCCATAACACGAAATGAAGACACTGTTAGCTACTAACACGAAAGCCTTCATCGGCCAACCTTAAGAAAGGTGAGGATAAACAGGCGTCTGGTTTTGGTGTTGTTCAGCTGCTATTTATGAAGCGGGCTCATCAAATGTAAAGACGGTGCACTTTGGCTGCAATATGTAATCCCAGATATCGTTCAGGTAGTTTGTTTCATGCTGCACCTGGTCTGTTCCTGTAAGTAGAAACTTACATACTCTTTTTTCTCACGTCCTTTCTTCCTTCCTTCTCCCGTTGTTTCCTCTTTCCCATTTACAATTAGTCACAAACAGAAAGAGGATTATCCGTGAATTTGCAATTAGTGTGTCTCGTTGAAAGCCTTGCGACGAAAGACTATTTAATAGTCAAAGGTATTCATCTCATGCAAAAAAATTTATGTATAAATTATCCTTCGAAATCTCCCGTACCGTTACCGGCAATCCCGAATCTTTTATTTTATGTGAAAGGATTCGCAACGCCTGCATTAATCATTAAGAATTTTGCAAAAAGCAATTCAGGCTGTTTCTCGACTCAGGGATGATCGAATTTTCACTTGCAAGGAAATCAATGTGAATCTTTAATTATCATCTACAATGTTTGCGATATACAGTGAATGTAGAAAATATTCGTACACTGATGATTTTCAAGCAAATCTTGATACATTAAATAAATTTTGTAAAAAATTGAATCTGTACATATTCTGTATGATGTATCGTAAATAAAAATATCACTATTTAAAAGTATTATCGAAAAATGAGCCAAAGAGGTATAGAAATCACAGTGGAAGAAAAGAAAATTATTATTAACTTACACGACCGTAACGAGTGTAAAAGTTTGGCAGATATTTCACGAATTGTCAACAGAGCAAGATCTATTATACAAAGTTTAATTTATAAGTATGGATTAAGAAAAAGATAAGTCAAGAAATGGACGTCCATAGAAAATTAATTCGAATGATTAAACAAAATCCAAAAAAACAAGTGCAACAAATATATAAGTTGTGGAACATTTAAAAAATTATTTAAATTATTTAAATTATTATCTGAAAAGTCTGGAGCACCCTGTCAATTGTAAGTAAAACCGTGATATCGATATCAATTTATAAATTATTCCTATTTAAGTTACATTTGTGATTAAAATGACACGGAGCGTTCGTTTACGTATATCTGTTTACTTTTCGGACGTGAAATAAATGGGTGTTCGAAACTTCTGAATAATGTAGTGTATATAGTACGAACGAGAACTAATAACTGGTAGAATAAAACAATCATTATAAAATCGAAGAAAATTCAGAACATTTTCAAAATGTATCGCTGATCATTTTTCTCCTCAAAGTGGGTTCGCGTGATTTAGACTTCACTTTTGAAATTTATCATAAATTAGCGATAGGATATTTATCCCCATTACTAGGAA